TAAAATAATAAAAAAAAAATTAAATTAAAAAAAAATATTTTTTTCATCTTAACTAAGGGTGAAAATTTTCAACTCAACACAATGACACGACTCGAATTTGATACAAAAATAAAAGGTCAACTCGCAACTCGACACAACAAAATTAGTTAAATGAGTTAAGTTAGGTTTGACTAAAATTCGACACAAACTCGTAATGACTCAACACGAATCTGACACGACACGACTTGATTGTCACCCCTAATCTTAGCCGTCACAAAAAAAAAATAGTTATTTTTATTTTCCATCCATCCAACCAAACGCAAATGAAGGAAAATGTATCATTCTTACTTTCTATCCTTGAAAGATAGAAAATGGATTTCTCCTACTTTTCATCCTCCCTATCAAACGGAGCATTAATCATGAACTTTTTTTGTGTGATTTGTTTAAGAGCAATGCTACATGGACTTAAAAAATAAACTTAAAAATTAGATTTGATAATCTCAATAATTGATTTTACTGTGAGTTTCAGCATTTATTGGGAACCATTACTTATTCAATAGTTGAGATTATCAAGTCTAATTTTTAAGTTTAATTTTTAAGTCTATTTAGCATTACTCTTTGTTTAATCTCTTAAAATCTACAAATTTTATTAAATTCTAGTGAAATTTTAGGATGAGAATTAAGTCAGAATCAATTAGACTTTAATTTTTTTGATGATTAATCATCGTGAAAATCGCTATGTTGCTAATTATTAATTATGAATAAAATTTTTCAATTATCATACGAGATTTGTATTCACTCATGTGTTAATTGGGGACTTTCTATTTTCTTTATAAATCAGAAATAATGGAGTCAAATGTTTTGAACAAACTCTAGTTGCCGTATACATATGGTGTGTGTGTAAGAAAGAAACTCTTGCCATTGACTATTTAGCCTTGTCCGTTGACCGTTAAAAGTGACGCCGTCACTAACATCCATCGTCTAGAGGAGGAGATAGAAATATGGGGCATGGGGCGGGGGTGTCAAGCACATGGATGTTTGTGCAGGTCAACAGCCCATATGACACGTGAATGAATCTGGCCACTGTGATCTTCAAGATGACTTAGTCAATATAATACTAATACCTAAGTTTGGTTGGGGGTATTGTAGTAATTTCACCGATGGAACCCGGTTAATGGATGATGCGTTAAAATTCGTATGTACCTCGTATCTACTGTGTCGCTGGTGCTACGGCCACGCGCTATTTGTCCAGTACGAATTACGGAGACAATGTTGTGTTGAGTTTTTGGGTTCACTAATTTTTATTTTTTTTTCAGAATTACCAGTTTAACCAACTACAATTTTTTAGTAATAAATTAGATAAGTTTAACCTTTCGCTTGCTCCACATTACTCACTGTCATCACCAATAATGGTGTATGTACGCACCAACCACCACTATCATCCTGATCACCTCTCTCGCAATTTTTTTACAATTAAATATTATTGTCATTACTATCCTATAAAAAGATTAAATAAAAAATACATATGTATGTGCACATCCACACAAACATAAATAAAATAAGACGAAAAATGTGAGTATTTTGGACAAATAAAAATTAATTTCACATTTTTATCTTGTGCAAACTAAACAATTAACTTAAACTCATCCTGTCCAATCAAACCTTCTTGCTCGGTGGGATGGAATTGTTTATATGGATTTTAATTTGAGCTTAATGTCACTCAACTCCCAAAAATATTTAAAAGTTTTTAATTCGCCCTTTCAAAGATTAAATATCTCATATTACATTTTAAAACATTTATAAATTATAATAATACACTTTTTTTCCCAACTTGGTGTATCTGTTTATGAAAAAAAAAAGGGCTTGAAAAGGGGAACGCGGCTACAATTAAAGAAATTCATGGAGTAATATGAGTTTTTTCATGTGTGGAAAGGCCAAGCAAAAAAATTTTAAACTTTTTATGGGGGTAAAATGTCATTTGTGCTTTAATTTGTGGTGCACCATGTGAGACCTTGCCTTTTTAAAGGTCTTAATTTTTTTAAATTGACCCTTTAAAAATTAAAAGTCTTAAATAGTATTTTGAATTTCTTTAAATGCTAACAATATTTTTCACTGTGCCAAAATTTAGGAACTAAATTTGTGCAACTAAAAGGTCAAAAGGGGAACATTGCTTTCATTTTAAATTTTTAAGGTGCAATGTAGATTTTAAGCCTTAAAGACAAAGTAAAAATTTTAAAATCTTTATAGAATGTAAAAATAACATGCACAATCTTTTCCAAAACTGTTTTGCAGACATGGTACTACATCTTCCTCTAAGAGACTAGGAAATTTAATAACTAAGTGGTTATTTTAACTTGCGATAAATCGTATATATACACACATAGATATATTTAGAAAGATTATAATATTTTTGGACGTCAACGGATTATAATCTATTTTATACATTATATTAGAAAACAAAAAAAGTGATAAGAGCATGGGAGGCTTTTCCTCTCTACTTCTTAATTTCTTAGAATTTTAAAATTTTAAATTAAAAATCAAAAGGTTCTTCCAATTATATACAAGCATGTGTCACTTACAGTAACTACGAGCCATTTATTACTCCACTAACTACCCACTATTTATTAAATTTATTTTGAAACTACTTTTACCACTCAACGTCTCTTCATCATTTTTCTCTAATTAGGAAGATCTCATATTCTCAAGCGATTAAGATAAACAAGGACAATGATGAAAAAATAAAATAGAATAAAATTCGAATTTTAAATTTCATTTATCACACTAGGTGAGCAATAGGCAAGTTATACAACACATGCACTTGATAAAAAATAGTTAAGAGATTTGTAACCTTGACCAATTCCATGGCGATGATTTTAGTACTTCTATATCATTTGGAAAAATGAATGATATTCATTAATTTAATTACTTGCATTTGCTTGGTAAGTAAAAATTAATAAAGTACAAAAAAAAAAAGCAATGTAATATTCAATATAGCGGTCACTCTACATTATTTTTTAAAAATAGTGTTATTGACTAATAATAAATACACAAATAGGATAAATAAACTCCACTAATTTTACATAATAATTATTAAAGATAAAAAATGTTTTTAAATAATAAACATTTATAAAATCTATTAATCTCATATATTTATTCATAACTACATGTTTTCTTTGCTGTTATTCATAACTACTCAATAGCATCATGATTACGATATGTCACTGTTGTATGGAATATTTTCTCATTGGTGGAGAGAAACAACCATCACAAGAGGTTAACAAAATCAACCGCTTCAAGCCAATGGGAGAGAGAAACCTGGCAAAACCCAATTGGAATTTCTAACTTGACATGTAAGAACTACACACGCGCTTTTCGCTGCGATTGGGTCCACCCCTTATGTCGGAAGGATTAAAAAAAATAATAATAAAATAATATTACAAAATTCGCCGGCTGGAATTGTTCTTCTTGTGTTTGGACGGAGCCAAGGAAAAAAAAGAAACGACTGTTAATTCAACTTGGAAATTTCAGAGAGAGAGAAGAAGAAGAGTCATATAGAGTCGAATCGTCTAACAAATTATTACACACACGACACAAGTGTATGTATAAAAATGTTTATCTATTTATAGAAACTCTGCTTCTCTCTCTCTCTTCGCTATTGGTCTCTCTTCTGCCTGTATGACCTAGATCTCAAAGCGCTTGGAAGAGGAAACCATCGAGAGTCTCTGTGGATCTTTTTGATTGAAGATTCCCTGTTTGTGATTCATACGGTGCCGTTTAATCAGGTGTGGCTTCTTTTTTCGTCTCCTTTGTGTGTATGGCGCATACATGAATATCAATGCGTGTATTTCTTTTTGATTGAAGATTTTTTTTTATCACCGTTAATCAGGTGTCGATTCTCATTCTCTTAGTGTATGTGTATGTGTATGTGGGTGTGCGTATATTCGTGTAGAGAGAGGGAGAGAGGTAGAGAGAAATTTGTGGACTTATTGAAATCTACAAACTAAAGATTTGGCATTACAGTTTGATATGGAAATATATTTAAACACTAATTGTTTCTCTGGCCGCGAGTTCGGAAATTGGGGAAGAAAAGATAGAGGTTTGGGGTTCGACAAATTCCATGGTTGAATACACACACACACACACATATAGATACATACACACACACACACATATATATATATATGGTGGGTGAGGGGGTTGTGAGTTGGATTGGAAGAAGGCTGGGTTTGGAATGTGAATTTGGTAGGTTAGACTTGGATGGATAGCTTTGACTTTTTATTTCGCTGGGTTTGTTCGTGGATTTGTGGCAGATTTTAGTTGGTCTTGTTTGTTCGGCAGCTTAGAGAAGTCCAAAAACATAAATCCCAACTTGCTTTGATGAAACATTGCTTTTGGTAGTTTGTACATTTTGATCTCTGATTATGCTGCTACAGTGGCATTAGGTTTATGATTGGGTCATAAGGCTTGGTTTGGTTTGGTTTGGTTTAGTGGCATTAGGTTTATCTCACAAATTTGGGATCGAAGAATGAACCGCATAATTTTGTGTACTTCAGTGAAAAAATTCTATATTCTAGATATTGAAAAGTCCATTAGTGTCTGGCTAACAATTGCAAGGACAACACTGAGGCCTTTTTAGATATTAAATGAATGTTGAAGTTATTGGTCACACACTAACGTATTTGGTGATTTGGAGTGCTCAGCTATCTGTAGGCTGCATCAGATTTCAAATTTGAGTATGTGTCCCTCATATTAAGAGAACTTCCTGCCAAAGTTCAGTCGCGTTTAGAGTTCTTTTTAACTGTGCGCTTATTCGGGTTTAAATGATTCATATATTACCAGAACTTGCTGATGAATTTTTTATGTTTCACAGATTCATTTTTTTTCCTGAAAACGGCTGATAAGAAGTCTGCAGTACGCTGTTAGGTAGCCACTTTTGGTAAAGAGTGCGTTGAATAGGTTGCTAGCTGTGGAAAGGGAGTGAAGTTTTATTTCGGGATAAGGCTGTGATGCATTGATTGCAGATGAAGACAGCTCAAGTGTGGCGTATAGGCATGAAAGACATGCAAATCCTGCCTGCGCCTCGACAACGTGCTCATTTAAAGAAGCCAACATGGATTATTGTATTGGTTTCATTGGTTAGCATGTTCTTAGTTTGTGCTTATGTTTATCCTCCTCATAATTCGGCTGCATGTTACGTATTCTCTTCTAATGGCTGCAATGCCTTTTCCAATTGGCTTCCACCTGCTCCTGTAAGAGAATTTACAGACGAAGAGATTTCTTCTCGTGTTGTAATTAGAGAGATTTTGAATACACCACCAGTTGTACCGAAGAACCCCAAAATAGCTTTTATGTTCTTGAGTCCAGGTTCATTACCTTTTGAGAAGCTGTGGGACAAGTTTTTTCAGGTAAGATATTTCTTTTCTCATGGTATTCAGTTTGTTCCATTTATCTTTCTAATGCCCATGTAACATAGCTTGCCATTTGCTTACTTATCATCATGTATAGCTTATGACATGTAGCCTACTTAGAAAGTATGAATTTTTTCAACTTATCATAGAAAAGCTTTTGCTATTTATTTGTAGATAGATTAGCTCTCTTTCTTAATGGGAGCACTATTACCATGAGTTGTTATGATTTGGGAACAAGATGTGCCACAAATGGATGAATTTGCAGCCTCATAACAATGGATTTGTGAGAATTTTCTACTTTGGGACACTTCTTAATTGTAAATAAATTTAATGATTGCCGGCTTTATTGATGGGTTGCTGCCTTTTATTTCTTTCTTGAAAATATAATGTAGAGTGGTGGATGTGTGATTTATTGGTATAACATGCCTTGAGGCGCAGGGTTAGACCTATTATGTTCATTTAATGCCATTGCCGCTTGTGGATACCATATGTGACTGAAATCTGCTAGGCCAATTAAATTGTTACTTTGTGTATTTTAAGGAGTATTTTCACTTTTAGCATGTTTTAATATATTGGATTCAAACTCTATGATTTAAAATGCATTGTAGTGAAAGGAGAAGTAAATGCACGCGTGTATCTATTAAAGGGAAGATAAAATATACAAGTGTTGCTCATCCGCATGGCGTAGAAATAATTCAAGTTTTGACTTAGAAACTTCTCTGTTTCTAGATTTGTTTTGGACATCAAATATAGAGTGCCAATTGAAAGTTGAAAAGGACACTGATTTTACCCCTTTTCCTTTTACCACTCTTTTTATTTTCAATGTGTAGATGATGGTAATAAAGGCTGTTATATTTGAGTCATATTGAAAGAAGAATTTTCGTAAAGAGGGAGAAGATAACCGAAGTTAGATGGCCGGCACCTATCGGCGTAGTTGTTAATATCCTGTGTGTGTTTCCTTTATGAATTACTTGAACCAACTTTCTTATCAGCAACAAAATAAAAATTAGTTGATGTGGGGTGTTATCTCCACCTTCTTACGGTTGCTTGGACTCATCAGATTTTTCCAACCCTTATTCCTCAAAGTTCTGTTAAATGAAAACCAAGGTATTTCAGTTCCTTGGGAAGGAAGAATTTCTCGCTGGAATCATTTAGCCCTCTAACAATAGGAGACACAACCCTTGAAGTTTTAGAACATGCAACCCAAAAAAACTAAGGAAATAGAAGTTCACATCACCTGGCCTGCTCTAAGAAAGCTGAAGGGTGGTAAGTGACCCTTAATTGACAGTGGTGAGGATGCTGTCTTCTTAGCCAAGAAATTAGCTCTCTTCAGCAGATCCGGCCTCTCTAGTAATCCATATATCTCAGGCCGCACCAATGACACAGTGTTAGTTTTCATGGAATCTCCAATTTTCGGTCTTCCATATTTTCTACAATTAACAAATTGATGTGTTAGGGTGTCCAAAAACTCTTTTTGAATGATAACCATCGAAACACCAAAAGATTTGTACTAGAGAGCTGATATCAGTTGGACAATAATGTCTGTTCTTTTTATCTCATGGGTATTAAAGGTGATTAAGATGCAGCCATTGGGTAAGAGTGAATATAGTGATAGTAAAATTTTGCATGCCATATATCATTTTTCTTCCTACTGTTATTTTCAGTCATGATGAGCGATTTCACGCTCTTGGTTCATTTCTTTATATTATAATTCTTGAAGTTCTCATTTGTTTGGCAGGGCAATGAAGACAGATTCTCTGTCTATGTGCATGCATCTAAGGAAAAACCAGTACATGTTAGCCGTTACTTTCTCAATCGGGAGATTCGCAGTGACAAGGTTCGCGAACCTGATATCAAATAATGCAGTTTTATCTATTCATATAATTGGGGCATTTATTTTTTATTCAATATTTTGTACCTTAAAATTTGTTTTTCCCAGTTGCCTAGGTCAATTTTTTTAAATGAGGTACACTTTTTTTTTTTTTTTATGACTTGATGATGGTGCACTTATTTATGTTTATTGTTATTATGGTTTTCTAGCAATTCTATTTCTATATAAGAATTATCATGCTTACCACTTGTCTCTTTCTTTACGTTATTCGTTAGACCATGAGTTATCATTGAAATTGAAAATTTGTACATTTGGCAAATTTAGTAGTACACTTATGTGCTTTTGTCAAAGCTTTTTTTGGGCACTTGCTATGTCATTTTGCATTCTCGCTTGTCTCATATTGAATGTTTATTTCATATTTTATCTTCTTGGATATTGGTCATATTATTTTCCATATTTGAGTTTTTAGAATGGGACATTATTTACGCCACTTTTTAATTAATCTTATGAGGTATAATCTCCCACTTGCTCCCCCCCTCTCCAAGATTTAAGTGCATGATCAATTTCGACAATCATACTCCATGATGTTGTTGGTAGCACATTAACATATTGACCTGGCCAACCTGTGATTAGTTTTATCTCTTGTGTTAACACATGAGCTTAAGGGATAATGTCATCATGCCTCTATATCTGTCTCCAGTTTATATTCGTCAGATAACTTCTACATTGTAGTTGTCATTGTCATCATTTCATCATCATCATTACATAGATCTGTATGCGATCCTATGTGCAGGTAGTTTGGGGAAAAATTTCAATGGTTGATGCAGAGAGACGGCTTTTGACAAATGCACTAAAGGACCCTGACAACCTGCATTTTATATTACTCTCTGACAGGTGACTTGGAGATAAAATTACTGTAGTTTCTGAACATCTTTTTTCTTTGTTTAATCGTGATCAGTTTTCATTATCGATTTTCTAATTAATTTATGGTCCTTAATTGCAGCTGTATACCATTGCATGATTTTGAATATGTATACAATTATCTGATGGACACCAATATCAGCTTCATAGACTGGTATGCCAATTTTCTTGGATGGTTTGATCCTGCCATGACTTTATCTTTTGTAGATAGCTCTTCGGATGATTATTCATATACCAGGATTTGTATTTATTTTGGAATGTATATCCAACTGGTATAAAATTTTGATGGTTCAATAATTTTTTGGACTTCGATTATTCAACACTAACATTACTATATTGCAAAACTAGTTTGGATGTTAATTCGTTTTGTTGTCTTTTTTATGCTCACCTTTGTATTCTTTCCAGCTTTGAGGATCCTGGTCCGCATGGCAGTGGCAGGTATTCAGAACATATGCTACCTGAAGTTGAGAAGAAAGATTTTCGGAAGGGTGCACAGGTATAATTCCTGCATTTGAACTGATCACATGGGTACGCTAGCAAGCAGTAGCCTTTGGTTTCCATCTGTGGGGAATGATTACAGACTCTATCTTTGAAGGTTTCCGCATGAGAAAATCTGAACACATATTACTTAAAAAGCAGTAAAACAAATTAAAATAAGTTTCAAATTACACATTGATGCTGTGAATGTCTGGTGTTTCTTGTGAGAGTAATGCTAGATGGACTTAAAAATTAGACTTGATAATCTCAACCATTGAATAGGCAGTGAGTCCCAATAATGCTAGGACCCACAGTGAAATCAATTGTTGAGATTCTCAAGTCTACTTTTTAAGTCCATCTAGCATTGCTCTTCTTGTAATACATTCATCCTGTTGTCAACAGTTCAAATGACTTGGTGGATTGTCGCATTCTTAGTTATTTCTTTCTCCTCGTATTTAGTGGAAGGTGGCTAAAGTTGTTGTCCTTGGTTGGATATTTCAAGTTAAGACATGCTTGATTTGAATATCTATAATTGTCTTCTTGTGATAGTTTGAATATTGAATTTGTGCAGTGGTTCACAATGAAGCGACAGCATGCTATCATGGTTATGGCTGACAATCTCTATTACTCAAAATTCAGGGATTATTGCAAGGTGGCTCTCTTTTTAAATGTGGTTTGCTTTATGATATGTTCATCTCAGTTGGCAAAATTGGAATACTGATATACTCAATGACTTGTGCTTTAAATTCCAGCAAGGACTTATATGTGCTTATGCTTTGAGGATGTTTTGGCGTCTAAGCATGTTTCTTTGATTGTCGACTTTGAAAGACTCTTCCGTTTACATTTTTCCTGGAATGTGCTTTTCTTTCCCAGTTTCTGACATTTTTTCTCTTGCTAGTGATCTGTTTTTCTGTCTGCCTGTCTGCCTACTAGAGTACTTATAGTTGTATGGGAACACAGAATCTCTGGATTTCATTGTCTTTTAAGTTGTAAGTGTACTTGTAGTGTCCATCAAGTGAGATGCACTTGAAGTACCGAAGTGTTCATCTCATTTAGTTCCTTGGTACAAATGATGTGCTACGAATCTTTGTTAGCATATAAGATCATACATGGTCAAGCTTGCGACTTACAGCAGGTTTTGTTAAAAAATTACAAGTGGCACCACATTCGGGTTAAACCTGAGCCTTCTTGATTGTTCTCACATCATAGAGTATGAGAGTTTGTACTTTGTACATGGAAGTTCCTCTGCCATGACTATATGGGCCCAGACAAATGTAGTAAACACTTTGGAGGAATTTATATTCATGTGATGGCAAGCAATGACTATAATGCTTTGATTGATCTGTTGCTATGGAATAATGGTTGGATGAAATGTTGGTAAGAGTTTTAGTTATTTCTTAACACCCAGCAATTCCTGAACACTGCTGGATATGGGTCTGGACATATTCCCACATAGTAGAAAAATAATATAAGTAAATGGAAACATAATGGAAATTAGGAAAGGGGTCAAACATTTAGTTTCACATGTGTGTTTTTGAACCTAAAATATTATTTGGAGCAGAATTGGGATACATAATGGTGGTGTCATTCGAAGGAGGAAGGGTAGGGCATAAGGAAGGTTATGAGTTGTTGCAAATATATGCAAGTATATCCATGCATAAATTTATGCATGCATAGTTTTTCTGTGTGTCTTTATATGCAAGCCTAAGTGCTTTGAAGCCTTATTCAAAATTGCACCCAACATGTAAGATTTTACACAAATAATCCTCTCAAATGGTTTGAGTGAGGGCCTTGGCGCATCAGTAAAATTGCTCTATTGTGACTTGGGCGTCAATAGTTCAACTCGTGGAAACAACTTCTCCGCGGCAATGCTACGTACATTTGACCATCCCCAATCCTTGCATTGGCATGAGTCTCGTGCTCTGGACTGCCTTTTTTGGTCCTCTTAAATGGAGTACCACTTAATTGTCGGCCCGGGGGGGGGGGGGGGAGGGAACTCAAGGTCTTGCGGCATTTCTAAAATGTTAGGGCATCTCTGTATAAGTTTGCCAAAACTCAAGCAGTTATCATTGTGATTTATCCACATTAATTTTGAACTATATATAATAACTTACACAGTTTATACTTACAAACACCATATACACACTATTGAACTCTTCGATTTGGTTTGTTTTCAAATTATTTCCACGTTAAGACAGTCTATGCTCCAAGCACAATTTTTTGTTGGTCATAATTTATTTTGTGCAATTTTTTTGAGAAATGTTTTGTAGTTCCAAGTGTTCATCATATATTTTTCTCTATAAAGTGTGAAGTTCTATGATTTATGCCTTTGCCCACCAAACTCAGTTGTTTCTGAATTACTTTTGGGCTTGGCTTGCATATTTGCTTGCAAGAGGTCATTAATTTAGCAGATGAGCTGACTTTAAGCT